TAGTGACTTTTATCGATGATTACTCTCGGAAAGTGTGCATGGGTCTACTTTCTGAATCATAAGTCAGAAGAGTTTGAAGCTTTCAGGAGATGGAAAGCTATGGTGGAGAATGAGACCGGTCTGAGAATAAAGAAGCTTAGGACCGACAATGGCGGTGAGTATGAAGACACCAGATTCAGAAAGTTTTGCTATGAGCACGGGATCAAAATAGAGAGAACCGTACCCGGCATGCCTCAACAAAATGGTGTAGCTGAGCGGATGAACCAAACATTGACAGAGAGGGCCAGAAGTATTCGGGTACAGTCAGGCCTACCGAAGTAGTTCTGGGCAGAAGCAGTCAATACAGCAGCTTACTTGATCAACCGAGGTCCATCGGTTCTATTGAAGCACAGAATACCAGAAGCGGTATGGTGCGGAAGGGAGGTAAAACTCTCACATCTCAAAGCTTTCGGTTATGTAGCTTACGTGCATATTAGTGATCAAGGCACGAATAAGCTTGAACCCAAGTCAAAGAAATGTACTTTCATCGGCTATGATAAAGATGAGTTCGGCTACCGCATTTGGAACAACGAAAATAAGAAAGTGATCCGCAGCAAAGATGTGATATTCAACGAGAAGGTGATGTACAAAGATATGCACAAGTCAGATTATTCAGAGAGCGAGTCAATATTTGTAGATACAGATTATGTCCCAAGTCACCTCTCGGAAGAACCCAAAGCAGAAGGTCCTCAGCCAAAAGAACCTGTTAGACAAGATGGTGCACAAGAGCCCGACGCACCAGCTCTGATTTTAAGGAGATCTTCACGGCCTCCTGTGCCCAACAGGAGATACATGAACTATCTGTTGTTGACAGATGGAGTGGAGCCTGAAAGCTATGATGAAGCTTGTCAGAGTGGAGATGCGAGCAAGTGAGAGCTTACCATGAAAGATGAGATGATCTCTCATCTTAAACCATACGTGGGAACTAGCTGAGTTGCCCACGAGTAAGAAGGCACTCCATAACAAATGGGTGTACCGGGTGAAAGAGAAGCAGGATGACTCCAGAAGATATAAGACCCGACTAGTTGTGAAAGGGTTCCAGCAGAAGGAAGGAATTGACTACACCAATATTTTTGCTCCCGTGGTGAAGCTAAATACTATCAGGACAGTGATGAGTATTGTAGCTATTGAAGATTTTCATCTTGAGCAGTTAGATGTGAAGACGACATTTCTTCACGGAGATCTAGAAGAGGAGATATACATGCACCAGCCAGAAGGCTTCTCAGAAGAAAAGAAGAAGAACCTGGTGTACAGACTCAATAAAAGCTTGTATGGCCTGAAACAAGCCCAAAGACAGTGGTACAGAAAGTTTGATGGCTTCATGCACAAGGAAGGTTTCCAGAAGTCCAACGCCAACCACTGTTGCTACTTCAAAAGATATTAGTTCAGTAATATCATCCTACTGCTGTATGTTGATTATATGTTGGTTGCGGGTACAAATATGAAGGATATTAGGAGTTTGAACAGCAGCTGTCAAAGGAGTTTGACATGAAGGATTTGGGTCCAGCAAAGAAGATCATTGGAATGCAAATCACAAGAGATAAGAAGAGAGGTCTCTTGTAGTTATCTCAAGCGGAGTACAACAACCATGTTTTGAAGAGGCTCAACATGTGCGACGCCAAGCTAGTGAGCACACCCTTGGCCAGCCATTTTCGCCTATCGAAGGATCAGTCTCCTCAGTCAGAAGAAGAGAAAGAGAGTATGGCTAAGGTCCCCTTACGCCTCAGCTATAGGAAGTTTGATGTACGTAATGGTCTGTACGAGACCAGACATTGGCCATGCAGTGAAAGTGATCAAATAGTTTATGTCGAATCTAAAAAAAGCTCATTGGGAAGCGGTCAAGTGGATTATGAGGTATCTGCGAGGCACCACATAGAAGTGTTTGCACTTTGGTAAGGGAGATGCGGAAGTACAAGGGTATGTAGATGCAGACTTCGACGGTGAAGTCGATCACCAAAGAAGCACCACCGGCTATGTATTCACTGTCGGAACTATAGCTGTTAGTTGGATATCATAGATACAGAAGATTGTCACTTTATCCACTACCAAAGCTGAGTATGTTATAGTGACTGAAGCTAGTAAAGAGATTATATGGCTTCAGGGTTTGTTAACAGAGATGAGATTCAAACAGAAGAGGAATGTCTTGCACACCGATAGCCAGAGTGTGATTCACTTGGCTAAGAATTTTGTATTTTATTCTAGAACGAAGCATATTGGGCTTTGGTACCACTTTATCAGATCCCTGCTGGAAGATGATTTGCTAAAACTGGAGAAGATTCTAGGAAGTAAGAATACAGCAGATATGTTAACAAAGGCGATAACCATTCAGAAACTGGAGTTGTGCGCAACTTCAGTTTTTGTTCATGCATAGGTGATAAGGGCAGAGCCACACAGGAGATGATGCTTGTTGAGATAGCCTAAAGTCGTCGGTTTTGTCTCCAAGTGGGAGATTGTTGGAATGAGGTGTGGATACCAACCTCCGCAGGTGGCGTCGATGGCGATCTCGAGGTCTGATGAGGGTGACGCTCGCAGGCAAAGTCAAAGTTTGGGTGAGCTCGAGGAGCTTGGCAGACGAGGTCGAAGAACCGTCGAGCTTCGAGCAAGTGAGCTTCGAGCGGGTGATGTTCTAGCAGACGAGGTTCGAGTTCGAACCTACGAGCGAACGAGGCTCGAGTAGACGAACTTCGAAGGACGAGGTTCGAGCACGAGTGGTCGAGGGTCGAGCTTCGAAGGTGAGTTGTGTGTGGGCTGACGACAGCATGTCGCCAGCGTAACCCTAGGGTTTCATTATAAAAGGGAAACCCAGAGCTCGGGTGAGTGTGCTCTTCCTCTCGTTTTGCTAGCGGCGACGGACCAAAAGAAAATCGCAGCAGCGATTTTTCTCCTCTCCCCTTGTGAATTTGTTCCAGCTCTCAAGATTGAAGGGGAATTAAAAAAGGGGTTTTTTTTCTTAAGAGCATTAAATAGGGATTATTCCCTTTGAACTATTAACACTGTAGCTACAGTGTTTGTATTAAAAGATCTCAGTTTGGGATCTGCTCTAAGATTTGTAATTTCTTGTTAATTAATAAGAAATTAATTGTGTGGCTCCCGAGGACGTAAGCAGTTACCGAACCTCGTTAAATCTTGGTGTACTTTCTTCTATACCGCGTTTTTGCTGTCTTAGGGGTTTTAGCGTAAATTCCCCAACAAATACAAGTTATATAAGTACTTTTTTTTATTTCTTTCATTAAAAAAGCTCTAACTTCGAATCAAATTAACCCATATGCTTCTATTCAAAGATTGAAAAAATTTTATGGCAATTTGAGGATGACAATTAAAATTTGGAGAGCCCCTTTTCCTTATTTCCCTTTTTTTTATAAAAAAGATGGCCTTTAATTATACATGGGAAACATTTAGTTTGTTTAGCTTAATATTTATAGGGCCTTTTAGTTGTTTAGCTAGGTTATATATACATCATGGGCTTGCAAATTTCGTGTTTTTTGTAAGGAGCTTGCACAAACTCCTTGGCATTCTAACCATTGAACTTTCAGAGGAGAGTATATTTGACGGATCCAAACTCTTCACACACAAGTCTCTCATAAAGTGATAAGAAAGATGTCGAAAGTACAAAAAAAAGTTGATCATATATGCATTACTCTTATACATGATAAATAAAAACCATCGTGCTTATGTACTTAAAAAGTCAAATAGTTCCCTAATAATTTTGACGGTCATAGTATATAGGAAGAGATGTTTGCACTGTGCAGGGCGAAGGAAAGATGCTTACCTGAATTTTCAAGGACTAAACTTCTTGCCTTGTCTAAGCAGCATTTTGGACACCTGCAAAAATAAATACATATAAAATAATAAAAAAAGGCCAATGGAAGCATACATGCTTCTATAACACGGTAAAACCTTGACAAATCTAATGGATATAATTCGAGCCATGCTTGTGATCTCTGCTTCTTCTTCTTTTTTTTCCTCCCTCCTTAATCCTTGATTCACCTCTCCATTTAAGAAATAATTTGAACCCTTAAAATGTAGACAGCGAGAACTTCAACTTTCAGGTTTCACGCTGAAATTTGTATTAAATCCATCCAAACACATGTTCATCATGTCACTTCATCTTTTTTTACTTGCGTAGATTATGAAATAACAACAAAAAAATAGAACTGATACATTTAATCATCATGCTACTTATATTTGTGGATTTGCAGAGATTGTGAGATAACGGACAAAGGATGCAAAAATTAAGCTTAACCGGTCTTCTCACGGACCATGTCAACTAGGGCAGAGCATAATTCAGTTTGAACTGAATAAACTAACCGAACCGTTCAATTCGGTTTTTACTTCAATTTCGGTCCGGGTTGGTGTATGCTTCTGTTCGTAAGTGGATACCGAACCAACCGATTTCTAAGCAAAGACTTAAATTCATTTAAGGGGTTGTTTGGTTGCTTTCCTTCATTTTTCAAAAATAATTTTCCTTCACTTTTTTATGTTTCCTTCACTTTCATGGAAAGTGTTTCTTGTGTTTGTTTCGCCAAAAAATATAGGCTGAAAGTAATTTTTACCACTTTTCTTAGTTTGGTTCAAACTTAAAAAATAAGAAAACAATTGATGTGTGAATAGATTCCCTCACTTTCTAGTGTTTTGTTCAAATAAAAAAAAAACCATAACTATGATCACCATGGTATGTTTACCACCCATATAGGATAAATTTATTTTCAATATAAGTTAAGAGGTAAACATATATCAACCGTCACATAAAAATATTTAAAATTTTAAGAGACTAATTTGTAATTTTTTTTAAAGTTTTGAGGTAGTGATTTGTAAAATATTTAAATATTTGAGGGGCTAATTTCAAAATATGAACAGTTGAGGGGAAATTTTAAAATATTCCCACATTTGAGGGACTAATTTTAAAATTGATGATCCTCTTCAACCTATGGCAGCGCCACCCCCAGTTCAACCCCGCCACCATGATCGCCTTCTTCCTTTTTTTCTTTCCTTTTTTTTTCCTTCTGCTTTTTCATCCGCCTAACTCCCACCACCTCTCCGACCCCAGCCTCAGCCACGGCGGGGGCCGACGGTCCTCCTCCTCCACCTCCTCCACCTACCAAGACTGCGGCAACCAAGCGAAGAAGGACTGTGCCCACCAGCGCTGCAGGACCTACTGCAAGAGACGCGCGGCTTCAGCTACCCACCACCTCTCCGCACCCCCGCGATGCCTCCGCGACGACCTCGACGGGCTCCCCGCCGGAGGTGAGCCTACCCGCGGTCTTTAGGTGCGTGAGGGTGAGCCAGGTGGACGAGGGGGGCCAGGAGGAGCTCGCTTATCAAACCTTTCCGTGATTTTGTATGACCACGGTATGGAGAGAACTTTTTCGTCATTTTTCTTCGATTTCGAGGTTACAAACGCAGAATATTTTCCCCTCAAATTTTCCTACATGGTGCTTATCTTTTCCGTCACTTTCTTTGCAACTTTCGCGAACCAAATAGCAGATTGTGGAAGAAAACAACAAAAATTTTCTGTTTCAGTTTTCTTATGTCCACTTTCTGCCCTATTTTGACCAACCAAACAGCCCCTAAACGTCTCATTCTAATTCCCGAGGGGGCCACCAAAAGCGCTCAGCTTTGAAACCTCTATTCCCCAATAACGACGCATGTTCCCAACTATTTGTGGGCCCACCCAATACACTCTCGTCTATTCTCCACCAACCCAATTATTAAAAGCCATGAGAGTAGTGAGAAGGTGTTCGTCTCTATTCCTTCTCGTAGGCATCAAAACTTAAGCTATTTTCATAGCTTTTTTTTTTCTTCCGTAGTTTTTGAATCTTTACTTTCTTTGGTCTCCCTTATGTGTTATCTCCTTGCATTTGCCATGTAAAACCGAATTCGCGGACAGAAACGACTGTTCGCTCACCCTAAATTGTCAACTGTACCTCTAGAGCATTATGTGCACTCCTTTTTCCTTATGAATAATGACCATGAAATTTGAATTTACTTGACATATGTGCGAGTAGTAGGGAGAGGACCAGAGTATTAAATTATCACCCTCTACAGCTGCCATCTTCGCGGCGCTCTGTTCAGCTTCTTTCTTTGTTGATTTTTGGCTACCATGCATGGCAGTAAAGGTTGGCATATATATGATCTGGTCCAGCTCTCTTCACCTTGCATTCTGGATGTGGAATTCGTTTTTTTTCACAAAATTCGTAGATTTTGTTTTTGAACGAGACCTTCCCATGTGTCTTACGAATGCTCTCCATTTTTCTGACACAAAAAATAAAAGATTTTTGTTAGTTGCTTTCCAAGCCCGTTCATTAGTCTTGTTGATAAAAGTTTATAAAGTTCTTAACATTATCCCTCATATTGTTTAAGGTGATGAGGACATCACGAACAGATTCGGACGTATCTACCGGCGTATAAACGCCCTTTGGTGGACAGCATGTCTATGTGGTTTTGAACTAATTGATGACAGATTCAGCAACTAGGGTTGATTGAGCAGTCATCCTATTTTGTTTAAATTTGAAATTTGAATTATGGTTCAAATTTAGTAGTTGATTTAGTTTTAGCATCTGAGTGATTTTAGGGATCTCCAAATTTGTATTGTTCTTTTTACGCACTGCTGTAATAAAAAAAAGATGATGAAGATTTGAATAAAAAAATTTTTTACCTGAATTGTTGAGAGTGTGTGAAACCTCGCGGCCTAGTGGTGGGAAACCCTAGCCCGCCGCATCCCCTTCCCTCTTCCTCCTCCACCTCTGATCGAACAGTCCTGTCGCCGTCATCAGCCACACCGAAGACCATTGCCACGCCCTCCCGAAATCTCCTCGACTAGATTTGCGTCGTCTACCAGATAGTCGACAATCGCCAGAGTTCGCTGGAGCTCCAAAGCCATCAGACCCTCATTATCACTGCTCGAGTTCGTCGGAACTCCCGAAGCCGACCCTGCCTCTGACTTACATCTCCTTTGAGTCAGATTCCCTCCTTCGATCTCCACCTTCGTCTTTGATCCACTGCTGCCATTATCTTTCATCGCCAATTGATCGGACCGCAACCGCCATTCTTCATCCTCGAACAGTCGCTTCGTCCTCTCTTTTCCTCAGATCGAAGACAACGCAGAGGAGGTAATTCGGAACTGATTTGTTTTGATCATACCCGACCTGGTTCAGTTGGATCTGATTTTTAGCTCAAATCCAACCCGCAATGGTAACAGATCTGTTAATGCTTCATACTTGATTCAAAGCCCGTTTCAGACCCGTTTGGAGCCCAATTCGAGCTCGATTCGAATCCGATTCGAACCCTAACTCTGTGGCCCACTAGTGCATGGCCAATCCTACAGCCGAAGATGCCCTATTCGTGTATGACCCACAGTCTGGTGTGGTAGATCTATAACTCTCTCATTGGTTCGACTACCAGCCCTTCGACACCCCAGCAGAGTACATTGATCGCGTGACTCCTCAGATCGCTGATAGCGTGAAGAGCCATCTAGGGATCAGTTCGTGGCATCGACACTTCAACCCAAACACATCACTTCACCCCAACTACATAGCTCTTGAAGGAGATCTCCCTCCCCTCATATTTGGTGTCATCGTACCACCTCCAGAGGTCCCTCACGTCGAGCCTGTTTAGCCCGACGAAGGTATCACTTTCTCTCAACCCGGTACTTTTGGAACTGCCATCGTACGCATGTTATTATCAATTATAATATCAACTGTCGTTGTGTTGTGTTATGCTTGATTAGTAAGAGAGTGACTCTGTTTGCATCGTATATCTGCTGAATTAAATATTACAAATCGAACTTTTATTACAAGAAAAATTTATTACATTTCTTTTCTGAACAATTTACAAGGCCGTAAGCTTAGTACATTACAATTTTGCTTAAAATCATCTAGAGCCCACTTTCTTCTTGAGGTTCCTGCGTAGATCGATCGCTGATTTGGTAAAGCATTGCCGTCGCTGTTCTTCATACCTGCATGCACTGTGTTTCACATTATTTTTGGTATCAGAGCATAGTTCTAGGTTAGAAATTTTTTTTATTTATTTCTAGATTAGTTTAATTGAATCTTTTTTTGTTATTATAAAAACACTACCATTCATCTCATTTAGTTGTTAGTGCATACCCACTCGCACAAGTCTACCTTATCGATTAGGAGTCTAGTGAATCGTCTAGTGAGTCCAGCATATCAGGCAGTACAGATCCTATATTCCTTAAGAGATTCGATAAGCTAGCAAGACAACTAGGTGCCGTAGCCTAAGAGAGTAGAGCTACCCGTGAGGCCCTGATAGACTTCCAAAATGTAACCAACGAGAGGCTCGCTAGGCTTAAAGAAGCGCGTGTTGCAACTTCACCGCTACAAGGTCAATGGAATGGTCATGGGCACATCGTTCATCGAACCCCACCTCAACCTGTTCCCGATCCAGGTGCTCAATACCTAAGGAGCATTAAGGTTGAAGCACCAACCTTTGATGGTAAGGTCTACCCACAAGCTTTCTTAGACTGACTGAAGAACATGGATCGCTACTTGGACTGGTACGCCCTGACGAAACCGCGAAAAGTCAAGTTTGTAGCAATGAAGCTTACCGTACAAGCCTGCCAATATTGGTCTAACCTCAAAATGTTAAGGCATATTAGAGGTGAGTTACTAATTTTAACTTGGCGAGAAATGGTCGACGAGCTAAAAAGGAAATACCTCTAGCCATCATTCTATGAGAGATTGCTAGACAAGTGTCATCGACTTACTCAGGGAATCAAATCTGTAAAAGAGTACGTTGCTAAATTTGATGAATTGTTTACTCGATGCAGCATCCTTGAGAAAGATGCACCAATGAAAGTCTTATCAAAGTTTAGAGCTGAATTGAGAAGTGACCTCTAGACAGAACTCTTTGCTAGAGGAGTAGACACCCTTGAGAGAGCTTACGTCTTAGTTCAAGATTTGGATGAGGTTAAATCCCACTAATCTCATAGGAGTCAAGATTTTCAAACTCATTCCTCCCCGTCCTCCCGTGCCACTAAGATTGGCCCTCACGTCAAGTGCTACAAATGTCAAGTGTATGGATATGTTTTTGTGAACTATCTGACCCATCACAATGTTTCTATCATCGATGGCCAATATGAATATGAACCTGAACTTGATGAGGATGAATTTTTCCATCAAGTTGACGATGATACCGATGATTTTGAGGATTATATAGATGATAATGTCCTAGGTTGTCTTAGGTAGATTGAGATCCCTACCATATCCGTTTTTAGATGTGCCATCTCCTAACCTAAGGCTGCTAATGATTGGAGATGTGCTTTCATCTTCCACACGTTCACAAAGATTAGCGATAAGAATTGCAAAGTGATCGTGGATAGTGGTGTAGGCGTCAAAAATTTTCTATAGGTCCTAAACAAATCTTAAGACGAAGAGAAGACAAAGAATATCATCATCTAAATCAGAAGAGGTCACCCGATGCAAAAAGAAGCAAATAAATGCACAAAATGACAAAACAATGGAACTCGAAGCAGGCTCACAATTAGTGAGACATCATACACTTTCTCTACTTCCGAGACAATGTAATGTGTCTCGGAATCCAAGACAGCATGAGCTGTCTCGGAAATGGTGAGGTAGCACGATGGCTTTTTTGACGGTTTTCTCGAGTTTCATGCGACCCACGTGACTCCATAACTGCTAGGGAACATCTATAAACACGGAGAGGTCGTTACAAATTGAAAATACGCTCAAAATCCCTGAGAATCATGACATTTAACAGAATTGACATTGGTAACAAAACTTCCTAGAACAATCCCTTCATCTGAGACAGTAAACACTGTCTCGAAAATGGGAGCTGTCGGGTGAGATTTGTTTCACATTCTTATCTTCAGAAACAGCTTACAAAAGGTTATAAATACTTCCCCTACACCCATATGCATGAAGGTGGACCTAATTGACGACAGAGACTTGAGCTTTTGGTGAATTCTGAGAGCAAGAGAGAGAGAGTCACGATCTATTTTCGAGTGATCTCAAAAGCCTTTGGCGTTTCCTTGATTTCAAACATTAATTTGATATCAGGAAGAGTATTTATCTTACTTTACTAAGATATTTACTTTTGTTCTTATTTCTAAAAAAATTAACATAAAGTCTTCTTCACGATCAACCCGAATCGTTAAATCGGTGGTCCATGAATCAAAGCGTCCCCGTCACAGATAAAGATCCCACGCAAGCAGCGACTAATAAATAGTTTCTACGTGTGTTTCTAGGGAATACCCCGTTTTGTTTTCTTTGTAAAGAGAAGTTTTATAAAAAAGCTTACTCTTTTGTTTTCGTTGTAAATGGCAAACATTATAATGGAAGCTGCAATGAAACTCA